CGGCCGACCGCACGGGTTGGCGTTTGGCGTGTCCTGAGGGTGCTAGGTGGAAGCCGCAGACGTGGTTCCTCCTGCGGGTCCCCCCGGCGCCCCCTTCAGGCATTGGAAGGGTTTGAGTTGCCGGTCTCATGGTTTTCGCCAGGCAGAAGCAGGGTGGTTCCTGGCGCCTTCAGAAAAGCGGCATGTTTGAGAAAGCTTGCCTGTGTCCTGGGAGCACTGCCCCTGAGCTGCTGCTACACTGATACAGCTCCCGCTTCTTGATCTTAAACTAAAAATCCTGCAGCACTAGGCTTTTTAAACTCGGTAATGACTCACGAGGAGTTAGAAGTCTACTCTTGTTTTCGGTTGATTCAGCATGTCTTTACTTTCTTAAACCTGCTACCTGATATTTGAAGCTGCCAGCTTGCATGGGGGATGGCTGATTTGTATAATTAGTTTTGCTTTGCTTCAGTGCAAAACGGTTCCTGATAGACAACTGCAAACAGCACGTTGTAGTGAAAGCCACTACCTCATAACAGTGGTGATGGTCGTTAGGTTGAACCTTGCCTCTGGTCAGGAAGTTTTTGCTCATAGTTGTGTTTGGCTCAACTTCATGAGCTACTCTGCAGGGTGGTTCCGGTGGTGTGATGGCCTGAATCTCTCTGGGCTTTTGCCTGTGTTATGATCCTAATGGTGAGCCTGTGCCGTCAGGAACGGAAAGCCTAAGCAATCAAATCCTAACGTCCAGATAGCTAGGAAACAGTCAGCAGTCAAGCTGAGCTCCCTTTTCTCTGTAGGCAGGCGTTTGGAGTACCTGCAGGGAGGTATGCAGGTTAACTCCAGAGAGTCAGCAGCGTGTGACTGCTTTGTCTGTTGCAGATCACTTGCTTTTGTGTATATAGCTTCAAGATGCTGTGAGGGAAGAGGAAGGATGGGGACAAAAATGAAGGAGGGAGATGGTCAAAGACAGCATTGGTATGTGAGAGCAGGGGAAAAGTGCCAATTGCAATCAGTGGTTCCTGTGGGTGAAGGGGAGGAACTGGGAGCTGTTGGTATAAGATCTAGTTGGGCATATGGTTCTTAATAATCACAGCGGTTCTGGATTTCCTTGATAGCTCTCATCCTGCTGTCTTCTTCTGAACACCTCTCACCCTAGTCTCCTGCTGTTTTGCTTGAGGAAGTGATTTATGTATTCAATCCTCTTGCCCTATGAATTGGGAGCTTCAGGTCTGTTTTGGTAACCTGCTGGTGCAAGGTGCCCTGACAACCCTGATAGGTCTAATTTTAGGTCTTCCTAAAATGGCTTGATGGCTGTTTTCCTTGGATCCCAGGAAAAGTACTGCTCTGTCTGCAGAACTGTGGGAGGCTTTTAAATTATAGTGTTAATTTTCTAGCAACTGAAATAGGCATTAAGGGGAAAAAAGAATATTCTGATGAAGTTCCAGGGATTTGGGAGTGCGTTACTCACTTGACAGCAAGATTATTGTTCATTAACAGACAAAATGATCAGTGGGAGAAGTGCACATTCCTCGTGCTCTCCTGCGTTCCTTCACTGTTGTGTGTATTGGAAAGTTTCTTCTCCACCCCCATGCTAGTGAGGGAGGGGAACAGACTGGTGTGGGGTGCGGGCTGGGGGAGAACATGTTAGTAAAATGTTAATCCTTCAGCCTCCAGGTTATTTTCAACGATTATGAAAGGCTCTTCCTATGTGATGGCTATAGGAGCTATTTGTTAGTGCATATAGTACAAGTGGCAGCTTCTTCTAAAAGGCTACCAGTGAAGATTTTCTTTTACTTGCTAGATTAAGGCATGATGAGAAAAGATGACATACTCTTCTGACTTGGCATATTTTGTATGTGAAGTTGGGATTTTGGCATCTCGGGTACAAAAAAAAAAAAACCAGCTCCTGTTTTGCACATGAGGCCCGTTGTGACTTCAGTGGAAATTAGGCATATTAAAATTTCTGAGAAAAGAGGCTTGTTATTTAGAGGAAGGGATGAGACATGACTTAAAAGGAGTCTTTTTCTAGGGACTAAGCTCTGGTCCTACTTTAAGGTTGTCCCTGAAGGTCATGGCTTTCCATTTATTTATTTATTTCTTCTTCTCTAAAAGAAGTATCGTACCACAGACCCACTCACACAAATAGTTGTGCGTGTTCTTCCTGTTTCTTCATGTCTATCTTTAGGCATGAAACAAGTTAATCTAAACCCAGAAAATCAGGAAGAAGCACTGCCAGCTGAGTTTAGTTCAGTTTTCAAATGTGGCTGCTGTTCGAGGTGACAAGGAGCCTTTTGTACTTTGGTTCAAATTGCTGTTAAAAGAAAGTACAGATGCCCGAGTCCTTGAAACAACTTCACCTTCTTATGGTCTTTCCTAGAATCTGGTTTGGCGTGAGTGGTCTGTGGCTTGGTGTTGCAGTGAGATTAGTGGAAGGCCTTTCTGCCACCGTGCAACCTGCAAGCTGTGCAGAATCTGCCCTTGGTCTGTACTTCCTCAGCTGAATCTTATTTGTATCATAGTACACAGTCTAAATTAGCTGAATGTTTCTGACTTATGTTTACCCAGATCTGATCATGGTGGTCCCACCTCCATTACGAACAGAATAAATACTTGCTAGCTACACCTTTAATTTCCTCAGAGTATTGTTTTGCTTGAAATGAACTAGTGAGTTTGTGTTCTTCACCATGTATGCTGTTGACACCCTCTGGGGCACTCCATATCAGGCTGTACCATCTGTATGAGGTGGACCTTAGCTGAGGGCACTCACATGAGTGAAATTGTAAGTTCAGAAGTACTTTGCAGATGAGGCTCCTCGTCTCTGCATTGGTAGGCTTCCTGTGGCATAGAGGGAACTTCAGAGGGGTGGCAGACAGGATGAGTTAATATTCATGCGTGCTTCAAATTGTTGGCTTTATCCAGAGTTGAAATGGCTGACACTGGGATAGATCATGCTGCCTGTAACGTTTATGTAAGCCTGTAGAAGCCCTCATGCGTGTTCCCACTGTACCTGCATATTAGTGTATCAATACTTCCTTAAGAGATAGTATAATTTAAAAACATTTGGATAATATTCTAATTCTGCAAAAGAGCCATACAGCAAAGGAAACCAAAGGTGCATAAATTGCCCTAAGCTGATCAGTCTTCAGAATCATAGGAGCTGCGGTAGTGGAGCCAGGCCACGGCCAAAGCTCAAGTCCAGTAGAACTTGTACATAAATTTCTCTAATTTTACATTCAGCGTCTGCAGTGTCTCTTGAGAGAAGGAAAAATGTTCTTGTTTTTTGCCTCTATCAGTCACTTCAGGGGGTATGTTAATGGACCATTGGGATGTTTCTTGGCTCGTTTAAGTCATTCTGCCTTCTGTCTTGAGTATAACTAGTCCCTCAGGACACTTGCCACTAATGCTGCTTGAAAAAAAAATCTATTTGGAAACAAGCCTGCCGGCCTGCCATATGTTAAGAGCTTAGGGTTTCCTTTTTTTGGTCATTTGGGGCACCTGTGTAAAATATTGTTGCTTTTGATTTTTATCTCTTGCTGCTGTTTATGCTTGTTATGTCACAAGCTGATTGCTCAAAAGATAATTGTGCTGTCCAAAGTGGAGGATGCAGTACCTAGGAAATGTAGTGATTGGCAGTCCATAAGCACTGTAAGACTTAGAGTGAGGAAGGAGGGTAAGGAGCAGTAGAAATGCATTATGATGTTACTATTCCTATGTAGCTGCCTGAGGCAAGAAAAAGATAAATAACTGGACCATACAGCATAAACCGAATACAGGTGAAATAGGATTTGGTTTTATTTTGTGGCAATCTGACTAATGAACGGAGGATAGTTTACTGGGGCTTCTCAGCAGTGGGAATGGTCCTTAAAGTGAAAAGTCTTGAGGCAGTGATAGTTGGCGATATGGCTGGGGCCCATTCACCTGCACATTGGGTCGATCAGAATGCATCGAGAAAAAAATGACGTTATTGCTTCCATGTTGTTGGTAGTCGTCAGTGTCCACGTGAGGTGATCTCCTTTCCCATTCTTCCCTTGTCTCCAGCGATACAGTTAGTTCAGCCTGATCTTTGCTCTAAGCTCATTTTGGAAGGCTTCTGTACTAGTATTGACCACCCTCACAAGTACTCTGACATGTCCCTGGATTGGAAGATTGGGCCGTTGGTTAGCCCTCACTTGCAAAAAGCAAAAACCTTAGTCTTCGTGCTGGATTCTGTGGGGGAAAGACTGATGTTCTTTGACTCAGCCAGCAAGACAAGTACTCCTTGCTGTAAGGCAAATTTTGAAGTGAAATGTGACCTCAGTCCTCTTCCTCTACGCCTTCTGCTTCTTCTAGGGTACATCCATTCTTAATGGAGAACAGTCATATTGTAGCCCAACTAATAGATGAATCTTTCCTGCTGGGCTCTGAATTACTGCCTTGTACCTGTGAAAATGATCGTCCTTGCCCTTGCTCTTTGACGTTGATAGAGTATTTACACTACCTCTTTATTTCTGGTTATGACTGGAGATACAAGAAGTGCCAGATAGCAGATGGTGCTATGTTAGTGCAACTTCTCTCTTGTCCCTGTTGGGCTGCCATGGAGAGTGGTATCAGGATAAACCAAAAATGCCGGCAAGTTGATGTTAAAATCCAGTAGTCTCACCTGTACGTGGGGCAGAAAGACAAAAAGGATTGCTTGCATTCTTCATGCTCCTGAGTGTATGAATAGGAGGGAGTTTGTCAAGAGTGGGTTCCAGAGGGGTTAGATTGGAGAAAGACTTAATATAAGCATTGCAACTCCCAGCTTCTGAGTAATCAGATAACTACTGTTTACTCTTCTGATCCAGGCCTGGGCTTGCCCAGTAACATGTGAGAATGCTTACTGCCTGAGAATGGGATTTAGGAAAGCCAGGATATGGAACCATGAGGACTACAGGCAGACATGCTTAGGAGAAGCGTATAGTTTAAGCTTTATCCTGTGCCTTGCATGCCAAGAGAAACACCTTTTTCAGCCTGGGATACACAGTTACGAATCTTCTTTCCTGTGTTCTGACTGGTACCTAATTATTTATGCAGAATTGAAGAGCTTCAGTAAGAGACGCTGAGTCCTACCCCAGAAGGCCCAGCAGACCAAGAATTGGAGCATTTCTTTGAGGAATAGAAGTTCTGGCTTCAAGTCTATCAAGCAGACAGCATCATTGAGCCTAGGCTCTATTACTGCAGGAGACTGGTGGCTGGGCAAGGTAAGGGGATCAAATTGGAGAGCAGTGCCCTCAAAATGAAGCATTGCTTCGTTTTGTTTTAAATGCAGCCTGCCTGTGCTAGAGGCAGAAGAATGCTTCAGTGGGTGAATTACATGGGGAGCAACGTGCAAGATTGCTGCCAGGCTATTTGGCTGTTGAGATTTAGGTGGGCTCCATACATTCCATTGCAGGGGTGGGGGGAAAGAAAAAAAGCTATATCTATGGTATTTTCTTGGCAAAGACTCAAATGCCTTTAGGATTAGGTGGGGCTTTTGAGGATTTGCCTTTTGGATGTAGGCATTTGAATCAGGAGTTAGTTATCTAAGTTCCCCTCTAGCAAAGTATCAGCAAATTTTTTAGGTTCTGTTCTGTTAGATGCTGTATATAAAATTGGAAAACAGTCTTGGAAAAAGCCTCCATAAGAGTGTACCTCGACTCTTAGTCAAGAAACTGCTGCCTCTAACGTAAGAAGGGTAACAATCTTTTGCGGGGAGTAGTTGTGAAGAAAAGGAAACAAATACTTCAGGTATTCCATAAATGTCCCACATTTCACATGCTCTCCCGAAGCTTGCATCCTTGATTGCTTCCTTAATTAGTACTTTCTAAATTTCTCTCTGCTCTCTTTTATAAATGAAAATAGAAACACAGAGTATTAATTAATCAGGCACTCAATCCATGTTCTAGAGAGTAAACGTAACATGGACCACAGCCACCTATCCTGCCTATCCTACCTCAAAGGACTGAGTGCCTCCCGCAAATGCTTGAGTCACTGACTTCAATGGTGGATATAGAGCATCCCTGAGCATGTCTCATGGCCCTTCATCAGTGAACATGGATGCAGTGAATCTGTGAGACGAAGAAATGAATGAATCGGCCTGTGCGATTGTATTTAATTTTCATTCCAATAGGTTTCCCGGTTCACTTGGCAGTTATTCTTTTTTTTTTCCCCTTCATCCTTTCTTTCATTCTTTCTTTTTTTCATTCTTTTGTAGTCCTTTTGACTGAACAAAACCAATCCCACAAGGGCAGACTAATTTATTCATAGTTCTGCTGCAACTTGGCTGATAGAATAAGCTGAAAAATTGCTACCTCCCATTGTTTAATGAGAATCCTTGTTGTGCTTTGTAGAGTTAAAATAAGTGCTGTCTAGTGACCTCTGCTCTCCTTCCTTATAGAACAGAGAACCTGTTGAACTGAGTGTGGTCATGCTGCAGAGGGTGGAAAGGCTAAAGTTCAGATTTGCAGACCCAAAAGTAAGTTACTGAAGTGACTGCTTGTTTGAAAGCTTGCTTGCATGCTCTTGCCTTTCATTCTCCTTGATTTAAGCGTAGTGTATTGTTAATGCCTATCTGAGCATTGCATTAAGCTCTAATTAAGCCTGCCAATCAAATACTCAGAAACCTTCTAGTATGCCTGATGATAAGTCACATTTTTCCTCCCTCAGTTTTCTAACTATGAACATGGAACTGGTAATTGTGGGTTTGGGTTTTTCCCTCTGAACTGCAGACAAATGCTTAATGAACTTTTACCACAGTGTTTAACTTAAGGGCCAGCTTCCATTATAAAATGACTTTGAGCAAGCATCACATGAAAAGTCCAGATTGTGCCAGGCTGTAACTAGGGAATAACATGGGGAAATCAAGGAAGTTGTTCTCAGCTTCTCATCCTGTGTCAGAAAATATGCTAGAAATCTGCAGGAGAAGGAAAGTGATTAGGGGGAATAAATGTGGCAAAGCTGCCTGGAAGGTTCTCCTGGAAACGGGAGTGAAAGTACAACATCCAGAGCACTCAGTCCCCTATTTGATGTTGGAGTAAGAGCTGCCGATGGTTACGGCTAATGTAAATTCTAATTTGTTAACTAAAAAACAACAATGGAAATGTCAGACAGTGTGGCTTTGGAGCTTCCACTGAGGCCTTGGGAGTGAGGAAGCTAGAGGGCAGAGCCACAGACTGATGTTGTTATTTATAAGCAACTATAAAAAGGGCAGGTAGCTTCTAATCCAAGTTATATTTGTAAAAACAAAGCATATCAGTAGAACTGAGATTAGGGCTTTGTACAAGAAGCTTTTCAAAGCTGTAAAGAAAAACAAATTGGGACTAAACATTATGAAAAATTCCCAAGCATCAAAGTCTGCAAGAATCTCCCTTCCAGGGAGACACCAGAAGCTCAGCTACCTTGTTTTGCTGCAAAGTGAACAGAATAAAATAACAGCATAAAATGGGAACCAGAGCAACTAGCCAAGATAACGAATTGGTCTTTCCCATCTCTTAACCTGAGCATTTATTTTTCTGTGCAGCATCATGATGGTTTCTGCACTTCTCAGCTGCTGAGTCACGTACTTCTTCACCTGTGAAGTTTGCATCATCTGTGGAAGTTGTATAGCAGTGGTAAGCCAGTACTCGGCATCTGAAAGGATGTGGCAGGAAGCTGTGGCTGAAGACATGTGGCTCCTAGATATGCCATCCTGGTTCATGGACTTTAATAAGAAATCTCAGACTAATTAAGCTTTAATACTGTACGTAAGGAAGGCTGACAGCTCTGCTGTAGCCTGACCCATATCTCAATGTGCTTTTGTGCCTGCAAGATTTTTTTTCTTCCTTCCCCTGCTGTAATCCTCATGGAACATCTGCTTGAACCAGAAACAAATGGCAGCTTGTTCTCTGGATGCAGCGTCCTTGTCTGAACACTCTGGCCCTGAAATCCTTCAGTGCTTTGTTCCTGTAGTGTTTTTTCCCCTCTAGCACCACAAGACTCGATTAATCCAAATACTGAAATCCCGCAGGCACTGGTTATTTTTAGCAGCATTAACACTAGAGCTCTGCAAAGGGTGGATGAAGATTTATGTTTTTTGTTTAATATAAATCTCACAGCCTTTCTCTTTTCTGCTAGAGCTTGGATGGATTCCAACATCTCCCCCACCCCCAAAATTGCCTTTTATTTCTTTTAATTAAAAAGTTAACAAAGGCCAGCAGTTTTGTGTAATGACCGTGGGACAGAATAGGTACCATATCCATTTTAGTTCTGTACGTTTAGAGGTTCTGCTTTCGTTTGCATTAAAGCTTTGTAAATGACAATTCTGGAAAGAACCTCTTTATGTATGTTATTTTCTATTTGGAGATGGGAGTTGAGGGAGAGGATGGGAGTGAGAAGAAAGAAAGATTGCTTAAACATGTGAACATCAAAACAGAATTTTCATGTTAGAAACTTAGTTTCTTACTTTTTCTACTTCATGAGAAATTCCTCATCCATTCTTTCTTTTCCTCCCGTAGCTAATTATTTGTGCTTGACTTTAGCTGGTGCTGAGCTTTCTGTTCCAAGGGTGTGGGGGAATGTTTTAGGAAGAAGTTTCAAGAATTCATTTGGTCAGGTCACATTCCTTCCTGGACTGTGAAGAGGGTGAGGAGTGAGAGGGAGATGCAAGGTGATGATATGGAAGCACAAACTGCTTTTGCTATGTGATTATTTGACAGTATAGTTTATAGATATGTGTGTGTGTGTATATATATATATATACACACACTTGCGTGTGTACATGTGTATATGTACATATATAGTGTGTGTACATATATATAATACGTGTACATATGTGGATGGATGTATATAAAATACACACACACAGATATATAAAATGGATGGAGTACTCTTATTTTATATCTGACCAAGCAATGAGCTGGAGGCCCTGTGCAGAATGTTTGCAATTATCTGAAAGACAAGCCTGAGGCACAGCCAACTGTGTGGTGACCTATATGCGAGCAGCAGGTTGCCATGCTCTCTGCTCTGGACCCTGCTGTTCCTACCAGCCACACCAAAGGGAGACTTTTCTTTGCTTGCATTTTGCTTGTTGTTCTGCTTTCTAGGCTGTGCACATCCAAGCACAGCCCTGCTGTTACAGTCTTCCAGTGATACAGTGATTCCTGCTTTTTCCCCCCTCCAGCTTCAACATGCCATACACCCTAACTGTTTCTTGGCACACCTAAGTGTAGTTTCCAATTTAGACCTCAAAACCTCACTTAAAATTAATTTAATTCATCAGAGAGGCAGCTGTAATTACCTTCTATTTTCCGGTACATGCTAAGGCATGCTAGTGTGCCCAGTAATGCCAGTTGGGAGCTGCTGTCTTCACCTTGTGGCCTACTCCTGCTTGGAGCCACTGTTACAAAGGCTTGCAATGTAGCTCCCAGTATGTTGGGAGGCCTGTCCCCTGGGAAGTGCAAGGAGCCCTAACTCCCACTGAAATCAGTGGGGGCAGAGAATACTCTGTCAACAAGATCAAGTGCTTAGGAAAAGTTACTACCATCTGAATTACTCTGCTTTTCTGGAAACTAAATTTCCTTCTTCAGTGTAACTTTTTAATTTTTTTAAATCTGCATTATGATTAGCAATTTTTAGTAATCTGCCTTTGCAGCAATGCTGCAGGCTTCCTAAAGTGTGTAGTGGTGTCGATTTTTGTAACTGTGGACGCAGCAGCAGTAGCTGTATTAAAGGATCCTACCTTCTACACAGGCCCTAGTTTCCAGCTAACTAGTTAGCAGTGTAGCTGTGTTACTGTGACAGCTGCTGTGCAACTAACCAGATGGAGGTGTCGCTATCTGTACGTTTCCCCATGCAAACATGAAATCAATAGACTGAAGCAATTAACTAGACTTTATAAACTTCAGTTGGCAAGCTTTCTGGAGTCGATTCAAAAAGGCAGCAACAGTTCCTGACGTGCCTGAAAGGGAAATAAGCTCAGGATATTTCTTTTGTTTAACTGATGGAGGAGGACAGAGGCTGGCTGAAAGAGAAGAAGCCTTAATGATCTTGTTTAAACATCAAATTGGAAAAAAAAATTCTCTATATCTTCTTCTGCCTCACTGTTACAAGCAGAGAAATCAATCGTTTAAATATCCGATTAGAATTTTAAAATTGCCCTAATTTTTCCCCTCCCCTGCCCCTCCCCCCCCCTTATCGCAAGCTTTAGTGAATAGATTCCAGTAACTTTTTGTTTAGCAAATGGCGATTCATTTGCCCAAACAGCTGATTGAGGCAAATGCTGTTTTGACAAGCAGAGCAAAGCTGTCAGACTTCTTTTCCCTATAGGCAACTACACTTCATGTCTCTGGTGCCAGGATGATGTTTGACATTTAATTTAAGACCTTCAGTGCCTGTATATAACTTTGCTATGATAATAGCGATAAAGCAGCTCAGTGTTATATTTGATGGTCTTTTCTTCCCTTCTCCTAGTTCAACCCCATGCTCAGTTTGGGCTGAAAGACCTGACTTGAATCAAGGAGAGGAGACGTAACCCTGAATTTTTATGAATTGAAGAGACCTCGTTTGCAGATAATGATTCGGTTGTGCTTCTTACCCTGGCTCACTTGTTAGATGCCAGGTAGAATTTATGCGGAAGAGAAGAAATGGAGTGGGGGTAATGTCAGCAGAAGGGAAGGACCTTCTGTTCGTAGTTCCTCCAATTACTCATCTTCTCACAAAGTAGCACATACTGTATTGATCAGTAATGCATTTCTCACAGGAAAAAAATAGCACTAATAGTATTGACAAGGCTCTGGCTCAATGAGAAAGAAATAGCTGGATTTTTTTTTTAAATCATGTTGATCTGCCTCGACATTGGTGGTACTCTAGTAGTTTCTGCAGGATAAAATAGGTCAGGCCATTTCTGCCTTTGGATGGATGAGTCCTGGGGAAGAGAGGTCAGTGATGCTGTGGGTAGCTCTTCCCCTTTGGTGAGCATAGACTACGTCCTCTTACTGGGTGTGATGTGAGGAGCATTCCCTTGCAGGTGACACAGACAATATGTGGGTCCTTTATAAGTGGTCAAATTTAATAAGAGCTGAGGTGCTGGAGACCTAGCTTTTTCCAAATGGCAATGTTTTCCCCATATAATTCCCTTCCCCTGTAGCACTTCCACAGGCTAGTATGTCTTGTGGTGCCTCTGTACAGTAGCAGGAATTGGACCTTACCGTGTCAGTACCTCAGGATCTCAAATGCATGCGTTCTTCTTGATGACACCTCTGTGTGATAGGGGTGTTTTACACTTCCAACTTGCAGATGGGGTAACTGAACTCAGGCTGTTTCAGGCTTAGATTAGACATAATAGCTACCCTTCTCTCTGAGGAGGAGAGAAGGCAGGAGTCCTAGAGAAGGCAGTCTGATTCACCCGTCAATTTTTTGATCCCAGACAAGGCGATCAGATGTGATATGCTTGAGACTCCAATATAAGGTGTCCGAAGTAATACCGGTAATTATGTCTAGTCTTGTGAAGAAAGGTCCTGATGTAATAGGTATCTGAATTCGTAATATGTTTCTGTGTCCCAGCCATTGGCTGTTCTGTTTTATTACTTTTCCATTTTCTCTGAGCACTAAATGGCAAAGGTCTGCTGTGATTTGGTAGTGAAAGGAGAGTGGTCCATTGAATTCCATAGAAAATTCTCATTTGAGGAAGAAGAAATGGGCCTTGTCCCCTTTTTGGAATAAAAGGGGATTATGTAAAGGTACATTTGTCAGCAAAATGGCTTCCAGACAGTTTATCTTTTTGTGTGTGTGCATGTATGGCTTTTTGTGGGTTTTTTATGAGGTTTTGTTTTGGGTATTTTTGCTTTATGCTACACATGGGGCTTCAAACTGCTGTTTAGCACAGAGGTAGTTCCTTTATCAGCATGTGTAGGAACATAGTAGAAACTGAGATAAACTTTTTCCCTAATTCTTTCACCTTCCATGTTTAAAAAAAAAAATACTGTGATAGGGCTGATGCTTTGTCATTTGAAATAGCTGAGTAGGGAGTAAAAGCTGTGGTGAGTTGTGCTTTTAAGGTGGTGATTAAGACACTGGTAGCGAGTATGTGTTGAAGACAGCAATTGTACTACTGCTAGTATAGAGCAGCTGGGAAGGAATTCTTAGGTGAAGAAAAAACAATATACAGAGAGTCTCTGGGATCTAACATGCTTCCCATGAAGAAGTTATGTATTCGGTACTACAGCAGAAACTGGAAAGAGTAGATAGCTGACGTTTGAAGTCTTTCAGTTTAAAATGAATGGGCATGGCACAGTATGGGGGAATGGATTTTCTCTGAGCAGAACAAACATATTCCACATGAGTGTTTAAAAATAGTGCCTGCCTGTACAAAGGCCCCCAGCTCCTTGTGTCACTTCCAGCCACCCACTTCCTCCATAATTGTCTAGAGTGCAGTTGTTTTCTCTCCAGCTTTTACAGATTTCTTACCAACAACTGCTTAAAAAAAAAAAAAAGGAGATAAAAAGATGTTCTAGGAGAGTCCTGGGGCTACTTTCAGGTATATGTGATGGAGAGGATGCGTACTTGTTTATGATGTGGTTAAAGCACTTTAAAGAGACAGCTCACACAGAGAGGGAAATAAAAATCCACTGCAGACACGCAGTGCACAGTCAGGCTCTACTCCAGTGTGTACTTCTCTCCTTTCTGGCTTGAAATGTCAGTGCAGATTAGCCACAACCCCCATCACCAGTCCACGTGGTAAATAATCTGTGTCCATGCTGAGGCTGCTTTTTTGCACCTTCTCTATGTGAAGACTTCTTAGACTGGATTCCAGTGTTTTTCATATCTCACCAGATAGAGTTGTCCTATGGATGGCTGGGAGCGTATCGCAGGAGCTCTTGCCCGCCTAGTTCAAACCTCGGTAAGAAATTGGTTTAGTGCTACCACTACCTTTTAGCTGAAGCACTTGCTTGACCTGCTTTTCAGTGCTATGGAGGAGCAGCTATTGACCGTAGCTTAGATTTTTATTCATGAGAAA